AAAAAATTAGATGTCCTAATTATTAACTCTACATGCAGAATTGAAGTGGGACATTAACTGAAACTGCTTGCTTTAGTCAAATGAAACTAAAGTTGACGTATAGAGAGACCAACATGTGGTGTGGCGTAAAACAAAGGATGAATATGTGGAAAAGCAGGTCCTGGTCACCATTAAGTATGATAAAGCAGGGTTTCTTAACCCTGGTCCTCAGGTCCCACTGTCCTACATGTATTAGGTGTTTCTCTGCCTCCACACTACTCCAACCTGAATGAAAAGGTAATAAGCAGGCTTTTGCAGCATTTGAGGGCTGTTGAGGAGGAAATAAAATCATTTGAATCAGGTGTGCTTGAGAAGACACATCTCAAACATGAAGGACAGTGGGTATCCTGCGGTAGAGGATCTGATATGTTTTGGGCATGTTTCTGTTTCAAATACCTTGGAAACCTTTTCTAAAATGCATGGAACCATGACTTATTTCTAAACTGAACGCCATATAGAGAGAGTTAAAAAATGACTGTCCAGAATCAATCGGTCTCATGGACAACATTTTCATATTCTTGTCATACACTTCTCTTTCTCTCCTATCGTGGACTTTTACGAACTCAGCGCATCAGAATCGACTAACCTTAACTTAAATGAATTAGAGCAAATATAATGCAGTCGTCCTGTGAGCACATAAACATGCGATAATAAGAAATGCAAATCTGCATAATTACTTCCCTGATAGTGCGATATAATAGGGAGGGCCACAACTTCCCATGCTTGTCAGAAAGTCTTCATTCATAGAAATGGCATTGAAGATGAAGAAGGAAAACTTTACGGGTTTGAAGATCAATGATCTGGTGACTGAGCAGCAGTATTAAAGGACCATTAAAAGCAAAGTGTCAAGGTTAATGGATACTTTGTGAGGACCCAAATGCTGAGCTGAACAGGCAGAAATTATTTCTTGCAAAATTAAGTGAAGTAAAAATACAGAAGCCATAATCCAGAACCGATCAACAGGAAGCTCAAGAACCAAAAACTAGGAGTATATCTACTGTTCTTTCTTTTTACGAAATGGCAACAAATTAAACCAGTCTCCTTTGGATACTGACATACCAGCAGCAGCTTTAGTGACCGATAGTTCTGTCATCAGTGAATAAAAATGGAATTTATAATTGCAGCATTGCATAATATATAATTATGTAGTCCAATCAAATGTAAAATTGCTTCTAAGTAAAACAATGTAGTCATTTAGTGAAAAAATAGGTTTGGATAACAGCTGATTGTGCAGGATTGCTATGTTAAGTCTGCAGCACTTGAAAAACTTTTTTTCATACCTGAGAGAAGATTAGAAATAGGAGAAAAATGGTGAATACATAATTTCTCCTAAATCACTCACACGAACATAAAAACGAATTTGTTGGTACGAAAGGTTCTTGCATAAGACCCATTGCTTTTAAGGGTTGTAACATGTTTACAAGGGGCTCCATTGTATATTTAAGCTAGAAATAATTTGGAACTATTTTTAGTTTTGAGTTTATTGACAGTATCACTGGATGCCAGTAGCAGCAGTACATCTAATTAACTTCCTCTTCCATTAATGTGGAATTAATAAAGATGTAGATTTCAATCTTTAAAAATATTACTACTTTTATATTTCACACAATGAAATGTTGTGGTGAATGTCCTTTGCATGTTTTACTGTACTTCAAAATCCCTCTGTCCCTTTCTCCTTTCTTCCAGGTGCTACAGATTTGTCCAAAAGACATGAGAGCAGATATTTGTGTTCATCTCAACCGCAAAGTTTTCAAAGAGCATCCAGCTTTCAGACTGGCCAGCGACGGGTGTCTCAGGGCTCTGGCTATGGAGTTTCAGATGATCCACTGCGCTCCTGGTGACTTGATATACCACGCTGGTGAAAGCGTGGACAGCCTCTGTTTCGTGGTGTCTGGATCCTTAGAAGTCATACAAGATGATGAGGTGGTGGCTATTTTAGGTAAGCTTTGATTTATGTAAAGTGAGAAAACAAAACATTTTTTTTATGATTTTGTAACAAAACAATTTTTTGGTACTTCCCACTTTCAAAATATTACAATAAAAGGGCTTGTATTTAACATTACATGTGGCAAAGCTGAAATGCATAATCTTTACCTTGAAAATTTTGGTTGGACAGCCCATATGAGGTCAGAAAGCCAAGTGGGAAAGTTGTAGTTTTCTGTACAGCTCTGAGCTCAAAATACAAAATGGCCGCTCTGCTGTTAGTAAAATTTAAAACCGAGTTTGTTTAGTGAGTAGTGTTTAAAGTGGAAAATCCAGAGAAACATGTTAGTTTTAGCCAGGGGTAGATTTAGGAAATTTGGGGCCCTAGGCAAAGACAGGTAGGGGGCCCTCTGAATTGAGAAGACGACACATAAAACTGACCAATTATACGGATACAGAAATTTTAATAGAATACACACACATTATTCGTTCTACTTTGTTGTCCCTCTCTTATTGTCCCTTTTCTTGTTTTCCTCTATATGTTTTGTACTCAGCTGACTTTTCATGCTGTCTTAAAAGGAATTAAATATTTTTTCCAAGCACTAAACTACTTATCCAATTGCTACTTCCTGTGTTTCCAAAAAGGCGACGGCAAAAGTAAAATAACTCAGTCCATCTTTTCACTGTAGACAAGCCATGATCTGCTTGATCATGCTTGTCTGCTGCATTAATCATGATAGGGTTACGAATGTACTTGCTCTGGAGAGCAGAGTTCAGTGCTAAGCGCTTTTTTGAAATAAGAGTGCTATAGGGGTCTGAAAAGTCACTAAATATAGTGACAAAAGTGCTAAGTTTGCAACACTGATCTTCGCATCGTTTGTTTTCAAATGGTTTGCTGCTGTCTGTTTGGACCTTTCTGCAAATGTGTAACTAATGGACTGATCCAATGTGGTGGACAGTGATGGGGGGGCTGAGACACACTTAATATCAATAAGTGTGTCTCATATAAGCGCTCTGATGTTATTTTAGCGAAATAATTTTAATCAAAAACATAATTATTGTGCACAAATAACAAATAGTTGTATTAACCATACATTAACCGAGTTCCTTGGGGCCCCAAGGAACTCGGGGCCCTAGGCAACTGCATAGTATTACCTAATGGTATAATAATATATATAATAATAATAATAACATTTTAAAATGGTTTAGCTGTGCTTAATGTCAGCCAAGATCATCCGTGTTAGCGTTTCAATATGCTAACGGTTCCCCATTTCAAGTTGGTTACAAATTTCTGTCCACCCTGGTTCCCTTTTAAATGTTTTGATGAAAGAAAGATCAATATGCTTGAAGAACTCATGCTCCTGGCTTTTAGAGCTTAGCAGCTCTTCATCAAAGTCATTTGGTTTCATCTTACCTCAAGACTGATGTAAAAAAAAAAAACGAAAATATAAATCTGTCACTTAAAGCAGTAAAGCAAGGAGTCAGTGGTAAAAAAAAAAAGGATTTTTTTTTTTTTATATAATTAAAAGCTTATATGTGCAATGGATGTTATTAAATAATGTAATTCCCCATCAAATCTACAGAGAGATGTGGTCAAAGACAAGGTGGTTCTTAGACACTCAAAGCAGAGTTTTAATCAATGTTATTAAAAATTTATTTATGCTTTCTCACGCTTTGATGCAAATGCAGTTTTTTTGTATTCATTCCAAAAAGCACATTAGCCTCAAAAGCAGTCAGTGAGGATGGAAACATGGATTTCCACAATATTTTTGGTCTCTAATCTTGCTTTTCTGTTTCTGTGCAGCAGCACTTTGTAAATTCTTACTGAGTGAAGTGAAAGCTGAGCTGCCTCAGGATCACTTTCTGCTTAGTGATGATTCAGGATTTGGACTAGAATTTGTTTGCTTCAGTCTAATACACGATCCTCTCTGCTGCATTTTGTGACCAATTTGACATTTTCAGCTTTCACAGCACACGGTCTCATTACTTATTCTGGCTCCATAGACACTTTTACAAAGATTTTGCAAGGCAAGGTACAAAGCGGCAAAGAAAGCTGGTGATGACAACAGTATTATTATGTTATTTTAGCAAAAAGAGATTTGCAAATTGTGTACAGTTGGTATTATTTATCCATAAATGTACAAAACCATAGATACAAGGTGAAGATTGTTAGACTTTTTCTTTCTCTGAAACAGTGCCACAATCATAAACTCCTTGTAGGGTGTGAATCAATAACTGTGTCACACACTCCTGACAGTGACATGCCCCGAACGCATGGCTGAGTCCAATTCATATTGATTTTTTAGACTTCTTTGCCAATTTGTAGCTGGTTTGATACATCTGTGAAAAACGAATAAAGGTCTCCAGGGGACCAAAACAGTGGATGCCCTGCAGTATTGACCCTCAAATATCCAAAGCACATGGATACATTTTTAAATGCAGATCTAAATAACTAATCATTATTAACCTTTAAGAGAAATACACTTTGGATCCAGCTTTTATTCACTAACTCTAAATCTATCAGTGTGAGTTTAAAAACGCTGACATATTCCAGGTTAACGTTATTTATTTTAGTAATTGTATGTAACGGCTAAAGATTATTTTGTCAGCTTTTGTTCATTTAAGGCGGGAACAAAATTCCAGAAGTAGCAAACAAAAGGTTTCATGATAAAGAAACAGGCAAACTTGGGGGAAAAGCACAAGGAGGACTAGGACATGTAATTAATTAATCACTGAGCTGATATACTGAGGAAGGTTAGGAGAATGACAAATGAACCAGAGGATCTAATCAGAATGAAAGAAGGAAAACTGAGGGAGGGAAACTAATCAACACAGATGAAGCTGAAATGATACACAAATAACTGGAAACCAAGGGTGGAAATTTTACTCTGAACTAAGAGACATAAATCCAAATGTACAAGGAACAGAATTCAGGAATAAACTAATAAATTACACTCAAGCATAATGCTGTAAACACAAAAGAAACACACAATCCAGCAGCCAAGATTCATGACAAATCTGGTATTTCTTTTACACTCACTTCATATAATTAGTTATTTCTCTGATCAATAATAATCATAGATGTCTAAATAGATCTGTTGTTAAAGTAGTGACCAAAAATCTCAATTTATGATTGTTACAAAAGCCCTGGAAGTCATACATGTATGAAACATTATATTTGAAGATGTTTTCACATTAAATATCTATGTACTGTATACAATTGTTCTTTTCCTTTATGTAGTTTTCTGGTCTTTTCTTGAGTAAGTCATCCTGTTACATCATGCTGTAATGTTTTTCTTGCTCTTCACGTCTCATATGGTTATGTTGAGCTCTTCAACTTATAATAGTCCAGGCATGAGTCACACCTTGCAGCATACGGAGCATTTAACTGCTCTGTTGAATCATACTCTTTAAAATCTATCCAATCTATAATTCATAATCAATTTCAGCCATAATAAAAAACTTACATTATTGAGCAGCCGAAAACCTTTAATCCCAGGAATCTACTGTACAACTGGTACTACTTTGAAATGTATTAATTTAATTTGTTTGTGTTGACTAAGCTTGTCTTATATAGAATTTGCAAGAAGTAGAAGAGAGTAGAATAGATTTTACTTACTTTATTTACATTTTATGATAAAAAAAAAACACTATTTAGCAGCTCTGGGTCGACAGTTGGACATAAGTATAATATAATAAAAATAGACACTGAATAAATAAAGCAGTATAAAACCAGAGTATTCCTACCACTTTCCATATTTTGTCATTTTAAAACGACAAAGCAATGATTTCATTGGATTTCTAATGGTTGAAAAACATGAATTAGTGTAAAAGTGTGAATTAGAAGTAAAATGGACAAAGCTATTAGATGTTTTTTACAGTAAGCTCTAGTTGGGTTTGCATTTTTAACTCATTGTACTATAAAAGCTGGAAATACTGTAAGTAACAAAAAAGGATTTTCTGATGGGTTATTTGTACAATATTTAACTTGTAACCAAAAGAGAAAACGTCTTGAAATTATCTTAAATTAAACTGTTTTTAGCTTTATCTCTTAAAAAAAACAAGAGAATTGGAAGTCACAAAACTTTTTTGACTACATTGAAACTGCTTTAGAGCAGATCAACAAAACGCATACATTGGATTTCCTTAGCAGAAATCTGAATTTTGAGCGAGATTCGGTGACCTAAAATTGTATTCTCATGAGAGATACACTTCACAATTGTACTTTAATGTATTCACTACATTTCTTTCATTCTATTCGTTTTTCTACAAGGGAACAGACATGCCTGTTTCTTTGTCTAACTCAAAGATCAGGATTTACGGTGATTTCTTTTTAAAATAGATTGTTTCCCTGCAGGTAAGGGAGATGTATTTGGGGATGTTTTCTGGAAGGAGGTGACTCTGGCTCCGGCCTGCGCCAACGTCAGAGCCTTGACCTACTGTGACCTCCACGTCATTAAGCGCGATGCACTGCAGAAGGTCTTGGAGTTCTACACGGCTTTTGCAAACCACTTCTCCAGAAACCTCCTGCTCACTTACAACCTAAGAAAGAGGGTAAGTGACCCTGCAGACGTCACCATGAACAAAAATACCCACCTATTCATTCATTTTGCCTATTTCTCCAAATGGTTTGCAAAAGCAACTACAAAAACATCTTCATTCATTTCACGAGTCAGGTTTTATTTGTGTCTTTACATATATTGGTATTACTTAACGTTGCATTGAGTCTGAGACGGTGTGGAGGTGAAAAGGTGATCCAGTCATCAAGAAATTGCAGCTAAATGAAGCTTGTTGAGGTGAAAATATTGAACTATGATTTTTCTATTAAAAAATATAGAAAATCCCTTTTACTGTCCCACAATGGGGAGATCCTGATGTTATAGCAGCTAAAAGATTATAGTAAAAGTGATCACAGAAATGTGGACCTTAGAAAAGTGTACAAAAATAACATAATAATGAAGGGTTAAAAAAAAGCAGAATACACAAACTGCATTACTTTTTAGCAATTAAAAATCATATTATTTTTGCAATATTTACAGTTGTCATTGCTTATTTTGATACTTTATACATTTTATAAGCTTTATCTGTAAATACCGGTATACAGAATTTCCATGATGTCACCAGCCTTTCCCAAAAGAAGTATTAAAACCCTAGTCAAAACTATATGAAACCTGTAATCACAGTGTATGCATATATTTTTGTAAAATCAGTCTAACACTGATTTTTAAAAAATATAAATATAGTTAATTGGAGTATATTTATTACATTTAGAAAGACATATATTAAGAACTAATAACCTTTCTAAATTAAAGCCCTTTCACTGCAGAAATTTGGAATCTAAATACATCATATTTTCTTAAAATAATTGCTTTTTTTCTTGAATTTTGGAGGAAAAGGAGATACCTTGCCAAAGACAATTCACATTTAAATTATGAAATAACGATTGTATTGTCTTATTTCAAGTGCATATTGCCTAATTATCTTATTTTAAGAGTAAAAACATTAATTCCATTGGCAAATCATCATATTTACCCACTCAAATTAAGGGTAAATATACTTAATTTAAGAAATCTTTACTCATTTTTAGATTTTTTTTGCTGTGTATGGCAAAAACACCTGACACCTGGAACGTTTTCAGTAAGAAATTAAACTAAAAATTAAAGTAAAAGTTTCATTTCTCCTCTTTACTTTAACTTTGTCAGACTTTCACATTTTAATTTAGTAATCCATTCTTCAGCCTCTATGGCTTTTCATTCCCATTTTAATGGGAATGACAAGTAGTCTTACCATTAGATTACATATCAGCTGCAGCAAGTTGCCAAAACTAAGACAGTTTTGTCCAAACGGGGTTTAAAATGAATGCCTAACCAGTTATTACCTAACATCTTGGTAATTGTAATTCACTGTACTCAAATGCAGGTGCTGATTTTAAACTTAGTCACACAGGTGAAAGAATTGTGCTTTAAAATAAGTGTATTCATATTTAAAGGTCTTAATGGCCTAAATCCATCTTTTGGACTTGTTTCACCCACACTCTCCTTCAAAGATTCTGCTGTCAGCTGCCAAGCTCCTGGCCGTTCCAAAGCCGAGGCTGAACCACAGAGGGGATCAGGCTTTTTGTAATTTTTTAGGACCAACAGCAACATTTAGGCAGGCTGCATCATGTTCTTCTTTTAAATATTTTTTTAAAACACATTTTTCCCCCCCAGTCTTTAACACAGCCTTAGTTGTTTGTTCTTTTGTTGTTAAATCATGATTGTTTTGTCTGCTTCTTGTAAGCTATTTTTTCTCATTCTCTTCACATACAGCCCTTCCTTTAAACCATATATTGTTTTAAAATGGGATTAGTAAACAAATTGGATTGTATTTCTGTAAAATTAAATGTGAACATTTTAATCTTTCAAATGCAGTTTTTATGGTAGCAAAGGCTGAGGTTAAATTTGTTTTAGCAAATGGACTCAAGGTCTGGATTGTAAATTACCTTCTGTCAATTAATTAGACATGAATTTTTCAGAGGGCTAAATTGTTTGGTATGTGCCGTCATCATAGGTTTACATATGGGAAGATGCATATAACCACAGCAGTAAATTAGAGTGTGCCTCTCTAATGCAAGCTGTAGGTTAGATCACAGTTAGCATCATTACTCATATGGGCTGACAGTTTTAATGGTTATCTCTCCTCTCACAAGACGCTGTGAATACAACAAAGGTCAGATGAATGTTGCGGGAACACAACCCGTCTTATAGCAAGGATTAGGTTAAGAAATGCTGAAATAACGAAGAATAGACAAATGGCTTAAATAGTTGAATATGACTTAGACTTGCACTTTGACAAACTTAAATGTCATTTTGTATACACTCTGTGTATACAAAAAGAAATTTCTTTTTGTATAGCTCTCATGACATTTCCATTGCTTAAAGTGCAGCAGTTATTAAATGTAAACATTGTGGGACTAATAAACATGGTGCAAAAATATACATCTTTTGAGTCTATGACATGATTTAGAGTTTTTTCAATCTGTGATTTCATATGTTTATTCTAGAGCTGATTTTTATAAAATCATTCCACAAAGTATAGTGCATTAAGAATTGCACTATGGATTCTTAAATCTATCTGATCTGGTGTTTAAATAAGTAAATAAGAGAGTCTCAGCTTCAACTGATTCATCTGGCGAATGATCAGTGAGTTTAACAGCCGTCCCCATCTTCATAAGTTTGGCCAATAGTAGAGAGAGAGCAGAGAGTGCTGCTGTTTGATGAGAATTTAATGTTATGAAACAGTGCTGGATAACAAATGGAAACTCAGCTTTAAACAGCTAGATCCTAAAGAAATAAAGTACAGAAAGTATAACAGAAAATCAAGTACGGTAGATACTGTTTTTCAGTGCAAACTTTAAAGATTGCTTTCGCAGAGCTAAAATTTTTAAATCTAATATTATTGGTCATACATGACATCCTGAAGAAGATAAAAACAAAAGAGTTAAATGTCAAATTTGCTTTGGTTTCAATCCAGAAAATTTTTTTGCGACTTCATTGCCTGGTATAAAGCATCTCCACTGAGGACACTTAAATGAATTCATGTGGAGGATTTAGAGTGACTCAAAATCCCAAATCAACTTTTTTTTATTTATTTCAGGAAGCAATTTCCTTTTGAAATTACAGAAATAAATCAAGTAGAATTATTTTTATTCTTTAGTATAACATGGATGCAAGTTTGATTTATTTGTCGATAAACAAGAAAAAAAACAAACAAACTTGAGACTTACCTATTTGTTTTTCAAATAAACAACATAGAAATAATTGTTGGAAATCTATGAGGTCTGTCCAATTTCACTTATTTACATTTTTATTATAACCGCAGCAAATTTGGAGAAAATCTGTTAAACAACTGCTTCATAACAGCTTTAGGAGGCCATTGTGCTGGCCGCCACTGTCCTTTGGGCACAATTTAGCCAAATGTATTTCTCACCTCATGAAAAGGATTCTGGGTAAATCTTGTGCTGAGATCTATATCTAAAACTTTAGCAAACGACAGAGCCTTTGGTCACATTTTCCTGGGTAGTTCATAAAGTGAAAATAATTGCGATTACCTCTTTGTAACCTTTCTAACCATTTTGCATTGCATTCAGCTCTGCTGCAAGTTCAGCAGTAAATATACAACCATAAGGACAAGTGTGAGCATTTAAACCACATTATACTGTGGTGCAGGGCCGTGGTGAGCTGTCGGCCAATTGGAAAAAACTCCTGCTACTGCCTTCTTTGGAGGCTTTCTTCAAGACCTGTCTGACAAGTTTATTCGTTAACATGAGGTTTATTTTCACTTTAAAAATATTTTTCCATTAAAATGCAGTGTCTGTGAGGAGTGCAAGGAGATGGATTGAATACTATTAAATATAGAAATGTAAGTATAAAAGTATGCCACTTCTTTCCCTATATAATTGTTTGGTTTAGAATAATGTGAAGTATAAAGCATTCTGGCTTATATGCCCTTCAATTTGCATCAGGATCTGTGTGGTTGAATGAACTACAGCATGACAGCAATGCAGCAAATTACAGCTTCCACAATACAGAGGTAGGAGTTGCTGTTTAACAATCATAGTACACATGTAATGTGTCTGCCTACTAAAATGGATTGCAATATACTGCAATACTCAAACATTAATCACAGCTAATTACCTATAAGGACTCTAAGTAATAACTGTAAAAATGTGTTTTGATTGGATCTCATCATTAGTTTATTCTGCTGTTTGAATGCAGTGCTGGGCATGTAAACCACAAAGAGATTAAGAATAAGTGGTTCATCTAAAAAAAAACAAAAAAACACAATTTAGGCAAAATTGCACTTTATTTCTATGAAAATTGTGAATGTATCTGTCCGTTCTTAGTTTTTAATCTGTTTTACAAAACAACATGGGCTTCATTAACATCTCAGCAGAAAAACTGCTTAATTGACTCCATACCACGATGCACTGATGCAAGAATTTATGATAAGTTATTAAGAGCTTGTTTTGTACGGCACACATTTTTAAGGATACAAACAATTCTGTTTTAAAAATCCTGGTCACTGGTTTATTTGGTATCTAATTTTTTAAGAATGCGATATTCGTTTTAATCAACTGCAGGTCATAATGACAACATGTATATCAGAATCTACCTTCATCTACATTTTTTATTTCTGTTTAAAATACGAGAATACATAAACCTAATTGTTGAAATTCTAATTCCTTGAGATGCACCTGTTTGAGACTCATCTGTCCACATCCTGCCAGGAAGCCTCCCTGAGAAACAGCCAGGCCCTCGTCACTCAGCACCTGGGTGGTTGTAGATGTCGTGTTTCTATGCATGAGATAAAAACATTGTTTTAATTTGCTAAAAGGAGGTCCCACAACAAAAGACCTTGTTTTCAGCACATCAAGCTTTGTATTTTCTTCATGTACCCCAGCGTGTGTGTGCTTGTGTGTGTTTGTGTTGCAGGAATACAAATTCGCTCTGCTCCACAGTCACAGCTTTGCATCTGTTGTGGGGGGAAAAGATGCACAGAGGAGCTCCTAAAGT